TCGTCTGCTTCCCCCCTAAGAGGGATAACATAATACTGGGAGGAGGTTGTTATTATGTTCTACCTGAAAGAACATGCACCTAAAGTCTCTGGCAAAGGAGGCAAACCTTGCATTTCAGTTCTCTCTTGCAATGGTGTTTAGAGCTGTCTTGTGTATGTATGTGCATTCATGTTGCCTGTTGACTTATGGCAACCTATATTTCATTGGAGTTTCTTAGGTAAGGAATACCTAGAGGTGGTTTCACATTACCTCTGCAATATAGCCTATAGCACCTGTTATGCCTTGGTGATCCCCCTTCCAAGTACTAACAGCATCTGGCCCTGCTTAGCTTCAAGATCAGATAGGATCTGGTGCCTTTATGCTTCCAATAGGGCTGCTTCTCTGTGGTAAGAGGTAAGACATCTGTGACATGCTTTACTTCTTCCTTTCTTTTTCAAATTTCTTGCTTCTTTCCCATTTCCCTTCTGATTACATCTTTGTCCTCCTCTCCTCTATTTGCAAGAGGATGCTGTGTTCTAGTCTTAAAGCTGAAGGCTCTCACCTTCTTCTCAATCTATTTAACGTGCTGCTTCTAGTTGCCATCAGCTACTCCAAATTCTTTCATAATGGCATGCCAAGTGAGTATAGCAGGAGGATCTCATCTTGTTTGCCATGAGTTGATGACTTAAAGACAACTTTCTATCTACTGGAATGGAAGTGGTGGAGTCATGTAAGCAAAAACAGCTACCATTTTCACTTATATGAGGTGAGCAAATGTTTCAGGGTGATATGGGCACACTGGATCACCTGGAACACACCATGGACTACTCTGTCTTCTAATTCTGCTACTGTGGCTACCAAAATTGGCTCTCTTTGCTGTAGTGAGTTAGATTGTCCCCTTGTATCATGAAGCCCTAAGAGAAATTGCAGAAAATTAACTTCCCTACCAAAAAAGGGAAGAATAATGAGGATGTCACACTAATATTGGTGGCACAAATCAAAGGAGCCATGGCTCCTTGGGGGCATATTGAGGAACACAAAACAGGAATGTGAGCACTGCACAAGCATCCCATTCCTGCTTTACTAAATGCTTGTTTCTCCCAATCTGCCCTCTCTAATTTTCCACAACATAATAGAACTATCATAATACAGAATCAGAATAATAGTACCTTTCCCCCATTTACTGGAGCACAAAGAATATCTGCACATTTAAAAAAAGAGGGTTGCAGAATACAGTGGTGACTCAACAAAAAGGCTACTTGAGTGCAAGACATTCTACAAACTGGGCATCTCACAACAGAGAAAATCTTTCTCTTGTTACTACTGACTATACTTCTGAGAGTCTTCAGAGCAGTAGAAGTGCCTCAGATGCATGCAGGTGGCACTGCATTTAGTAAGTAGTTTATGAGTTTTCATATATCCTGGATTTATATTTATTTTCAGTTACTCAAAGAAACCAGTTTCATATATAAATCATTCCTTACTGCTGTGTTTGTAAGTTTGAGGTACAAGGTTATGATACTAAGGATACTTATGTGGAAGCAAATAAATTTCATAAAGAAATAGTGATGCATGCAGAATGTTCCAAATTCAGTCATGACTGTCTCTGGGAAAAGGATTTCTGAGAGCATCTCTGGCTAAGACCTTGGGGGATTACTATTGCTCAGAATTGATAGCACTGAACTTTATGTACCAATGATGTGTTCTATGAAGTTTCATATGATCAAATCAATAGGATATCATTTTAAATTAATATATTCATTCAGTCATTCATTTAACCTTTATTAAGCACACAAGAGTAGGATTTACAATAGATTTACAATAAATAAAATAGGTTTACAATAGAACTTCAGGATCATTATTATAAAATTTAAGCCATAATCTTGAAGCCTCCAGCTGGAAATTGGCCATTAGCCTGGTAATATGTGGATTCCGATCTTCCAATAAGAAATCCACTGATAACCCATCCAAACAGATGTTCATTTCCAATAAAAAAATAATAATATATTTATGTGGATAGCAAATCATTTTAAACCTGCTCTATTTCCAGATAGAGAAGACCCACTAACTTATTTGTTAAAACAATAAGTCAGAACCTATTTAAATTAAGTTGATTTAATGGGTCTAGTCTAGTTGGAACTAGTAATTAGATTCATACCAGTGTACAAAAGAATGGATTGCATTAGGAAGTCAGCTACGGCTCTGTCCTCTTTCAATCTACAACTCTTTGTCTTGGTATCACAGTGAGACTGGTGTCTCAGGCATACTAATAAATGAATCAGACCCATTAAACTCCATGAGACAAAGCATTCAATGCCTGCAAACTATATAAGAGCTTTAAAGAAGGCAGAAGCAAACATTCTTATAGTGTCAAACAATGCAAGAATTGTGCTATGATAATAATTTGGTATAGTTCAACATTAAATTATTCCATTTGAAAACTTTATAAAAAAAATCTTTATTCAGAGTTAATCATACAAATAGTGGGATAGTTATTCTTCCAACAAACATCTTTATGTATTTGTATTTCATTTTCTGTTTCTACAAAATAAATAGTTCACTGCTCTCACTTCGGTCTTGCATTTACCTAACTTAATACTTGGAAGGCACTGGATCCCACCTGATTTTGGAAGTTAAGCAGTGTCAGGCTTGCTTAATATTTTGTTGGAAGACTGCCAAAGAGTACCATGAGCACTAGGATATATTTCAGAGCAGGGCAATGGCAAATTACCTCTGAATACCCCTTGCCTAGGAAAACTCTTTGAAATGATGGAATTGCCATAAATTGATGCGTGACTTGAAGGCATTTTCATTATATTGCATGCATTTACACTCACTCATCCATTCACTTACTCACTCAAAAGTTGATTAACATGTGTGGCCTTCTTAATGGGATAGTCCATCCATATATCATTACTAAGCCAACAAAGCAGCCTACTAACCAGAATTTTGGCTGTCTTCAGATGATGAGCTATTGACAGCTTGGTGGGCTACCTTCAACTTGATGGGTCACCTGTTGTGCAGACTTGAGATAGTGGTTATAAAAAGGAAACTGAAAGAATGAAAGCAGAGGCTTGCTAACTGTGTGTATGGTGCAGTGGTTTGAGTGTTAGACTAGGACTCTGCAAGACCAAAGTTCGAATCTCTGCTTGGCCATAGGCTACCATGAGAAACTCACAGGAGATTATCACATGGGAAGAAAGCATCCTCTTCCTGTGCTTAATTTGTGTTATTAGCACAATTAGGGATCACACCCCCATGCGAGGATCCCATCCTTCACCTGTCCGCAAACAGTAGTGGACCCGTCATTTGGTATTAATGGGAACTCCCGTTAATACCCAATGATGAGTCCATTACTGTTTTTGGACAGGAGAAGGACAGGATACACACAAGGGAGTGTGATAATCATCCCCCAATCACACTAATAACACAAATTAAGCACAGGAGGAGAATGCTTTCCTTCTGTGTGATAATCTCCACACTCTCTCAGCCTAAAAGAGAGGAAATGGCAAACCTCTTCTGAGTAAATCTTACCAGAAAACACCATGAGTCAGAGTCAATTTGAAGGCACATAACTGCAGCATATAGTTTCAGAATATCAAGAACTAAGTGTGCCGACAGTATTCTAGGAAAGTGCATTGTTGAGAAAGATTTCAATGGAGAGAATTAATTTTTCTTTCCAAGAAGATGGTGTCAAAGCTGCTATACACATTGATGAGAAATTTGGTGACTTCATGTTTTAATGTCATCTTGCTTCATTTTCACCTCCAAAACTTGAAAACAGACCCAAATATCAATTAGAAATCTATGTATTTTGGGGCTTGTGATAAAATTCGCCAATCAAAAAGCAAAAGCACTGGAAAATGTGCATATTTTACAAATTTGCAAAAATAACAACAAAAAATCACCCACAAACAAAAATGTATCCAGTTTGAAAATATACACAGCAATATGTAAAAAAATCTATAAAGATGTAACAAGAATATCAAATCCTAATGAAGAGTTTGGAATCCTGGCTTGGAACAAGTTCAGTGCTAAAAACAAGAACCTTGTACAATTAAGTTTGGCAGATTCTTGCATGTAACATAACAGAAGAAACTCTTCAGAAAGTGAATTGAGAAGAAAATTACATGGGGCCTAGTATCACATGGATGTGCATGCAACAGAAAGAAAGCAAGTGGAGATAGTTTAATAATATAGAGCTGAAAGCATGACAATATGTATGCTGCTAACTGTTGTTGGCCTATGTGATGTTCAGTAAGTACTCATCTGGCAAATTTAATGCTACTTATGAACACTGAGCAGCATATGCCCTCCCTCAAGCCATATAAAAATGTGGGGGCTAAATCCAAGAAAAGTGCATAATCCTATGGTTTGGAATAATTCCCTAAGGCCATAACAGTCTTCAAATATTGTTTTCTGTATTGCTGCTTTTAAAAAGACCAGAAGGGAACCATTGAAATACTAGGGTATGGAGGCTGATGATATATAGTTAAAAATTTGTTACATGTTTCCAAGGCTGTCTCCTTGGAAACTGGATTTTCAGCTCATCTGCTTATCCTTTTCTTTAGAGCTCAGGTACATAATGCATTATAGGAATTCATTAGCAACCATAGCATGCTGGTAACTCTTGTCAGCTTCACCTTATTAGTATTCCAGGAGGAGTGCAGCAGGAAAAAAATGTATATAATTTTCTGCTTGTTCTCCCACTCATCTCATTGCAGAAGTGAGCTGTTAGTTGATAGGAGCTGCAATAACAGTGGCCTTTGAACATGCACAGAAAGTAAGATAGGGGAGCTGAAATACATATTGAACAAGGGAGGACAGACTAGTCAGATGAAGATGACCTGACTTGTCAGTATTGTATTTGTATATGAGATGGAGGGGTGGAACACAGATGCTTCAATGTTCCTAAAGGGGCAACCTGAATGGAGCTGGACACATAGCTTGGGGGCAAAGCTCATGATTTGCATACAGAAGGCCTCAGGTTTAATCCCTGATATCTGCAAATAAGGTGGGGAAGTACAGCTTACTGTGAGCTATATAACATCCAGCATGCCAAATGGTAGCTCAGCTCAGTCTTCTTAAAACTTGAATACTGTAATAGCAGAATTTGAAAAAGTTACTTTTGGAGACTATACTTCCCATAATGTGCACAGGGAGTATTTCCGGCTCATTCTTTGACTGGCTTCAGTGAAGAAGTGACTTGTTTACTCAGAAAAGCTGTCATAACAGCATGCATAGAAAGCAAGATAGAGCAATTGAAATACATAATGTTTGATGAGTCCTCCTTTCAGATTCCAACAGCTGCTCCACACTACTTATTAATGACATGGCAGGAAGCCATAGTAGGAGGAATTCATCTTGTTTGCCAGGGAAGATGGTGACTTAAACACAACTTTGCCCCTGTATTCTGTCTGCTTTGTGGTGGTATCATGTGTCATGTATGTGGAATCAGTGGCTACCCTACTAAAGTTATGTTTGGTTCTTTACTTCAGGGGCTGGGCAGCTTTCCAGGGCAGTCACATTGGTCCCTATGGAGCTCATTGAGAGCTACATTGTGATTAAATATCTGTTGCTGTGGCTGCTGCAGGTAAATTTACTATCACTCTCACAGCTAAGCAACAGTTTTCATATTTACCCAGATCTATGTTTCAATGGGACTCTCTCTGATAAGTTAGGCTCTTATGCTACCTCCTTTCTTCTAGACAAATAAAGAATGAACTTGAAGTCAATCTCACTGCAAAAGAGAAACTCCTTGCTTGGCTTTCATTTTTATTTTTTCCCAGTTATCTCTTCATAGCACACACTTGTTCATGCATCCCCTCTCAACCTATAGAGATTAGCTGGAATGAAAGAACTGATTGGAGATAAACAACAAAATGATTACATTCTTATGCATAGATCCATATGTTGTCCTTGTTTCTACAATCCAGCTCACAATTTTTGGATAACAGCAATGTCATATATAGAAAAAGGACACATTTACCAGAAAGGTAAATATCTTCAAACCCATATAATTAAGGCAGTCAAATTAGATCTTCAGGCACACCATTAATGTTATTAGCTTCACTTTTGTGAACAAAGGCAACTCTATGATTTTTTTTTCAGAAGAGTACAAAGTGAGTGTATAATCTGTATACATAGTGTGTGCCACTGTAAGATATCTGCACATTGTTTTTATTTATACTGTATATACCCATGTATAAGTCTAGAAATTTTAGTAACCTGAGTCAATCTATCCACAGGTCAATGTAAGTACTGTACTTTGACTCTTATCAAAAAAGGAATCATGCTCTGGTGAAAGGCAAAAGCATAATCTATCCAGGAAACACTGACACACACACACACTATTTAATCCAGCCAACATTTAGTGTGAACACAGTTATGTCTGCTGGAAGTTTGTAAGTTCTTTGGCATTGTTTTCCATTGCTTCATCCTTTAAATCCTTTGTTCCATGCCACTAAATTTAACCCTTGATTTATTAACGAGTCGTATCAAAATCCATAATTTTGGCCCCAAAACCTTGAGTTATACATCAGGTCTTAATTGAGTAATACACTAGTTGCACATGTGCTTTGACCTTTAGCGTCATATTCACTGATATTTAGGAACCCCACCTCCAAAAATGCAATTTGCAAGCTGCCAACACAGAACATGAGAGACATAATAAATTCCAACAAAATTTCACAGGATTTGAGGATATGTTATTTTAAAAAACAACTGGTGAGAGCTTCAATTTATTTATTTATATACCGCCCTGTGGCGAGCCAATCCGGGCGATGTACAACAATGAGATACATACAGTTTAAAACAGTATAATTCCCTCCTCCCCCCTTAAAAAGTTATTAAATGACATCTCAATTAAAACAATTTACAATTAAAACAACAAATTAAAAATAAAAATACAAACCAACAAACCCCTGCAACTTCAAGTTCTGAAAGGGACTATAAAACATTCCTGAGAAGGGGGAGGTCCTAAGGTCCTGAGGCCAGGTAATTTAGTCTGGAAAGGCCTGCCGGAAGGGATC